CAATGTTTCTGGAGCTCTGTTTGTTAGCATAGGTTATAATAGGGTCCACTCAAGTGTGCTACCATCAAGGGACCTTCCAATTAAACCTTGGACCACCTTCATCTGGCAGCAGTCATGATTGCTTAGCCAAGGACACATCACTATCTGTCCATGGGTGAGTTGTGGCTCTGTTGACAGCATTACCATGTATTTACAACCTGTAACTGTAGGACAGGCCACTAGACGATGACCACTTGATGGACTTACATGTTGCACAGAGCTAATCCAAGCAAAGCATGCAAAACTGCTTCAGTGAGATTTATTGCCTGTGCTAACTGAATGGCTTGGTTTGGTTTGGCTTTACCAACAAAAGGCTGCAAAGGATGCAAAATTTGGCAAGGTCCTTCTTCTCTTGTTGATGCAGTAGTTTGTAGAAAATATACATTAGAGGTGGTAATCAATATGTGAATTCACTTTCAATTTGCCTAAGGTACACCTGGGCTCATGTCTTGTTATCATGAACTAATTTCAATCTGGCAAACAAGCAGGCACTAGAGAATTCCTATCTGCTATCTTGACAGTCGGGGCAGTGCGTATTCATCTGGCCGTGCATCTGGGAAAGACCAGATGTGGCGCTGGAAAAAAGCCTCTTTGGTGCCACATATCAAACCTCGTGCCAGGGGAGAGTTGAAATGAGGTGACACCTTCAACATCCGGCACACTGGGCCCAGTATATTTGGACCTTAGCCAAGTCACTTGGCAAGGTGTTTAAAACACTGACCAGTTTGGATCATCGAGTCAGCAGCTTCTCTGGCCAGAGGTGCTTTTCATGAAATTGGGCTGTCAAATAATTACAGTAAAAAGTTTACTAAAAGAATGCCGCAGATCTTTTCTTTGTGTGTGTGTGTGAAAAACTGCAGGGTTTAAGTCAGAAAGCTGAAATCTATCTATGTCATACCAATAAGCATATGATTATGTAGTCTACCTACACATTTGATAACTGAAGCACACAGAGACAGAGTAAATTTGGTGCTTTCAAACCCTTTTCAACAAGAACTCATTTTATCCTCGATCTCTGTATGGGAATGCTTTTTGTCTGCACATAAGTTGTGACTGCAACTGATAATTTGTGATTGCAAATTCTGACATCCATGTAAAACTGGACTTCCAGAGTAGCTAACTCGGCTTCAGTGTCAAGCTTGAATGAACCAAACACTGTTTCCACATAAGTATGCACTAGACCGTAAGAAATTGTAGCTTAAATCGTTTCACAACAAAAGCAACAAATTGAGGCACGATCTGGCATCGACGGCTCCAGTCGTCTCTCAGTTTCTTCCTTTAAAGATGTTTCCTTCTCTGGTCCCTTTGTAGCTTTTTTGAAACAAGATTAACTTCCTCTGAAAATGTAGCAGCATGACTATCAGCTGTTGCACCAATTTGTGTGGCTCATTTTTCGCACTGTTATGTTGTCCGCTGTCCTGCTTTTGTACAGAAAGAAGCAAATTGCCTTCATTTATCTCTTACATTTCTTCTATTTATCTTTCTAAAAACAACTTATTTTCTCATAAGCTAAATGGCTGCTTCTCTGGAGGTGAACGTGTTAAATAAAGAGGTAGTTCCCAATGCATGAAACAGACATCCAGCTAAATGTGAAAATAGGATCATAAGCCTTTTAAGTAGTCATGTGTGAGACTGCAAATTTCTGATACCAAGCAAATACTGGGTTAATATTGCAGATACTGATACAAATACTTTAACATAGAAAGGTATTTATTTATAAATGGCCTTTTTTGTCCATTTTTATAATGCATGTTTGAGGTATATTTTTCCATAAAAATCAGATAAATAATTTATTTAACACAATTCAGTGGGCTACACACTAAACTTAAAGGAAGGAAACAAACTATCGAACGTATCGCGCTAGTATCGATCCAATACCGATACTAGCAATGGCATCAATACTATCCCTGTTTGGATCGATCGATCACCTTTAATTTTGAAAAGTGCCGAGCATAACTGAACAGTAAGGTTAGAATATATTTTCCAGTCTGTGACTTACTTCTTTGCACTTGCTCAGTTGCTCATCTCTCAGAACCCCCATGGTTCAAACACACCTGCTATTATTGCTGTCATTAGCATTAGCCCACTAGAAAACATAGTTGTAAAAGTACTTACCGGCCGGACTCAAGAGTAGCGCCCAAATAAAAGCCGTCCCGGCGGAGAACAGGTGGTTGGATCCCATTTCGTCCTATTGACAGCAAAGAAAACTTCACAAGAGAGCACGGAGCAGCTTCCGTCCACTGTCGAAACGCTATGTGGAAAAGTGTGAGCAACATCTGTCATCTTCGCAGCTGAGAAGCACGTTAGGACCACATCACAGCTACTGTCACGATAACCGCTTTCAAGTCTGTGGGCGGGGAATGACAGCGACAGCGTTCTGACTGACTTACTTTAGATCTCAGCATAGATAAGTCTCCGTCTCTGCTCACTGTCAGCGCTGTTTGGACCGGAGGAGAGCGAGTACCGTGCCATCAGTTTCCGCGCAATGAGCGCTATCCATCACTGGGTGCTGAATCAGGGAGCGGCACTATAACACTGTGTGTCCCAGCTTTGCTGTAATTGCTCATACCAGCTCATAAAAGTAGCTCTATAAATCTGTTTTCAGGAAATCAATTCACGGAAAGTAGTCGGATTTTCTTCTGTGCAGAGAGAATCCAAACAATTGCGCCTGTTACGCAGGGTGCCAAGAATTTTTCGTCCAATGCGATGAGTCCTGTGAGTGTGTTCTGTTTTAAAATTCAAAGTAGTAGTTTTCCATGACTGGCAGCTGGACAGTGTAATAAGTGTAATATGTAAGGTTGCCGAAATAACAGGAGGAGATGCAGGGCACGTCTGAGCATTTGCCTCATTATCTGGCACCTAAAGCGACTCGCTCTCTCGCTCGCTCTCTCTCTCCCTCTCTCCGTGTGTGTGTGTGTTTAAGAGACACACATACACAGAACCAGTGTGTTTAAATGCTGATCAGCTATTCAAGAAACCAAGTTAAAAATGCATTTAAAAAAGTTATGAGCCTCGACTTTAATACAGAAATTATTCTTTGAAAGATCCAAAGAATGAGTGACGAGTGACGTGAAGCTGAACACGGCACAACACGGTGCGACATATATTTGGAAAACAGCTAGAGGGCAGACCGGGTGAGTGAAGTTTGTACCCCAAACTACTGATGAGCACAGGAGCTGTGAAAACACCATAATGAATATTTTTGTTTAAAAAAAAATGTAAGTGTAAAAAACATCAAACAACAAGGTGCTTTATTTATTGCTATTTATTTATTTTTGCCGTTTATAAGATTGAACATAAATCTATTTTCTAAACTCGTAATAATATAATGCTACATATTTTATTTAAAAAAAATGAAAAGGCATCCCTCTTCAGGAAGTTCTACCGGAATTAAAGAGACACCTTGTTTAAATAAGTTGGCTAAGCCGGGAAACTGTGCAAACATATGTTGCATAGACAGTTTATCCTCTTTTTTCCCCTCTAATCATAGGATCTGTCTTAATATTTATATGGAAACTTATCCCCATGGATATTTCTCTTAAGAAAACAAACCCTTTATTAGTTGTTCCAGTCCCCTCCCTCACTTATTGTTGCAGAAACAAAATCTCTATTACCACATAGTCATTATAAGTATATCCCAGACTCCACCCTTACCCTGGAACCAGATGGCCAACCCATAGCTTCCCCTGGAGAAGAGTAACAGAGTCATTATGTTTTGTTCTCCAAAGGCCCATCTATTTTGATCCATAAACACGGAGCTTAGCTCAAAGCTGCACTGCATGCTGTTCCCATATTTGACCTCACAAAAACTCCACGAATAATGCATGGATGGAAAATCATATGTCATCCGTCCTGGGGATATTCATCTTCGTTGACTGCTTCAGTTGATGTGAAGTCTCACCTTAACACACTGTTGCATCCCAGCACTGCTCAGCACATGTACGTAAAAATACAATTATAAAATGGCGAGAGGGTATATTTCCTGAATTTGGGACCTCACGGAATGCCAAACATCATTCACAAGTTCAAGGATGATGCGTAAACACTTTTCAAAACACTTTTCAATGCTTTCTCAGCGATGGATTTTCACAATGTCTTTCATTTGCTTGGTGAATGAAGCGTGCAGGACCTGTGCTGAGCTCTCCAGCCTGCTGGCGATGTCCGCTGCAGCACGAAGCATGTCTTCAAAGGCCAAGGACTCCTCTCTGATTCTGCTCCGAAGGACCAACAGTCCAGGTGGCCGGCCGAGTGAGTGATGACAAGGAGAAAGCACCGGACACAAGAAGAAACAACAGCAGAGGGTAAGAAAAAGAAAATGTGAGGACATGATAATATACCGGGGGGATCACATGTGCTCAAGAAACTATCACTTATATGCCACCGGGTCTCTTTGTGATACTTTTTGTTGCCTATCTTTGTTCTTCTCCTGCCCTTGTTATTGTCTGATTGAGTTCATCTTCGCCTTGTTACCATAGTTCCCTTGTGTGTATTTAGTCCTCAATCTTTTTCATTTCAGTGCATTTTTCCCTGTGTCACCTGCTGATTATCCAGAGATTCATTTCTTCTAATTGCGGGGTGTTTAGGTACTTCCAACAAAACCCACCTGTTAGTCTGTTTCTCTTTTATATTAGAAATTATTCTTTTACACAGTGCGTCAGCTTCAGATACCTAAAATGAGTCTCAGTTTGGTAAACAATTACTATTTTATTATGATTAATGTATTTTAATCTAGTTTTGCTTTTTGTTTATATGGGTAGTATTTTAATTTATGATTGATGGAAATGGTGAAAAATGGTTATCAAATTTTTCCAATGTTTGTGTTTATCAATTAAAAATTCCAAACCTCAAAAAAGCCAATTTAACATAAATCATAAATCTAAGAGAGGAAAAATATTGCCAAATATTCAGAATTTCACATTTCAGTAACCAGCAACTGCCTGGTGATAGACTGAAGTCAACCTACATCTTTTCTTTTTTACGCCGTCTTTCCCCTCAATATCTTCAGTATATGTGCTACCACAGTTAATTAATCTTAACAACAGAAACAAACAGCCTTTTTTTTTCTTTTTCTTTTTAACAGTCGTCTTTACATTTCAGCTGTTAACTTTATGACATTTGGCACAAACACATTTGATTTACTGCACTCACTTGTGGATCCCAGACAAGGAGTCCGGTACGTCTCCCTCCAGCTGCTTTTTTAGATCCTCTTCTGCTTTTTCTACCACCTCGTGCCAGCTCTTTTGGTCCTCTTGAATGCCAATGACATTTTCCTTGATCACATCTTCATAGCGCTGATCTCCCAGTTCATTCCCTACAAATTGCACCAAGTTTTCCATCACTGCCTTGTTCCCATGCTGTATGGCCTGCAGGTAGGCCAGCTCCTCTCTCTGGGCCTTCAGCCTTCGAGCTGAAGCAGTGTTGGTGCTGAAGTGGACCGAGCACCTGTCCGGCTGGGGCTCGTGGTGGAGCACAGGTGTAGGTGACGGTGAGGATGCTGCCGATGTGGTCCAGTCGTGGCTGTTTTTGACCTTCGCGGGCTCATCACCAACAGCCTGCAATGTGTTATTGGTGGCCATTATCACAGAGTAGATGTCAAAGCCTGAACCCCAGTCCCCATCTCCACTTTGGCACAGCGCTAGGGTTGCCATGGATACACAAGCCAAGATGACGTTTGTCCAACAATATCGCATGGTAACCTGAAAAGAGGTAGAAGTGAGTGTCTGTGAACTTGGCCAACTGGTGAAGATAATAAAACTGAGTGAGATAAATATGCAAGTGGGCTGGTTTACTTCACTTACATACTTAATTAATAAAAAAGCTGGGGTACTCTTCATGTTGTAAATTAGAATTCATAACATACAATGCATGCATGTAATTTG